TTTAGCAAATAATAATAAAGAAATTCGCATTATTAAAAAAAGTCTGTGAATTGTTAAGTTTATGAGCCTACTATGAGACTCGTGAGCCTACTATGAGGCTCGCGAGCCTACTATAAGGCTCGTGAGCTTACTATGAGGCTCAAGCTGAGCTGAGCCTATATAAGTAAGGTTCAGCTCGACTCGAGCCTAATTTATAAACTCAGGCTTGAGCTGAGCCTAAGACTTTTGGGCTCAGCTCAGCCTGAGCTTTATGAGGCTCGGCTCGGCTCAGCCTATGAGGAGCTTTAGGCACAGTAATGGACCATTACTGTACCTACTGTACACTATTATTATTGGTTATTATTATTTACTAAATATATCTGTTAATAATTATTGTTAAATAATGTTAAGTGATAATAATTAATATTATGAATTGATAGTTATTTTTGTGTAACTAAATATCACGTGAACACGTGATCTTGTACTACTATTTCGTGACTAATTAATATGTATTACAGACTATAAATATTTACTAAAAAAAATTATTAAATTGTTACTATTTGTTATATGAACTAATATTTATTAATTATTTTCATTCTGTAATAACATATTTCAGATGTAAGTATTAGTCTGAGGCACAACATATACTAAAGTATCATTTTTGAGATACCTATGGTTATTTTTTTAATATATCAAATACATGTGACAAAGTTTAAGATATACAGATAAACTATACAGTACGAAATGCTATTTTGTACTATATGAATAGTAACTTGTACAATTTATTTATGGCTTGTATAGTTGATTAACTGATATCACGTGATATTTTTCATTAAAACTAACCGTGGGGAATTTTACCTGGTGATATATAAATGTGACGAATAATATTTTAGACCCAAAAAATTCTAAGTCCCTAAAAAAATATAATAAAAATTAAATGTTGGGGTGTTGAGGTAGTGATAATAAAATGTAACACCCCTAATTAATTTGCATGTGACACAAACCCTAACCCCTATTTTGACATAAATAGATAATAATATATATTACAGGGGTTGGGTTTTTAATATAAAAATACTTGTTCAATTAGATTTTTATAATATATATATTATTGTACGAATTTTGTGCAAAAATTTATATAAAATCGTACAGTACAAAATAGCGTTTCGTACTGGACATCAAAAAAATAACTATTTTGTCACATGAAATTAGATATATATATATACACAGGTTTTAAATATCTCAGATATTAGTATTCAAGTTATAGCAATCGTAGTATATTCCCTCTTCCTTTTTATTCGAAATTCTCCCATTTTTATACACGCCTCCATGAAGATTTAGACATTCGAGACTACGATTTCGGCGAGAACATTTGCGCACCTACTCTAGATTCTCCCTAATTATTTTAAATAATTTATTTATTAATTTATTTTATTACAATTGTTTTTATTATACCCCTGAGTATACTCCAATTCCGCGATCGTGCATTATACCTGCTTTATTCCTCCTTCCACCTTCGCGAAAATAATTTTAGTATTGTGAGAACTATATTATATGAGATTTATATTTAATAGTTTATTTAGTGGTAACAATAATAATAAGAACGAACCGTCACACCAACGCCAATTACGCAGCAACCGGTTAGAAGAATCCAAGACTCAACCCAACGTTTCACTACCCCGAAACCACCCTCAAGCAACTCCATACCAAGAAGAAACTTTTGGAGAAACCAGTGGCACATCACAACCCGAAGAGCCGCGACAATTTATTATAGGTCTCGACGCCGACGACGAAGCCGCAATCGCTGGAGAACTTCCAAGGATAAGGACCGAACCTACCCAAGAAACCGCCGGTCTAGAATAAGAAGCAAGAAGATTAATAACGGAAACAACTAATTTAATAGAAACTTTTGGAATAAATTAACCAGAAATAACCCAGAAACCAAAACTTACCGAAGAAACCAAGAAGAAGACGAAAACCGAAGATTAGCCAAACACTACGCTCTTACCTTCAGAACTGACGTTAACGTCCGAAATCTACAAGAAGCCAGTTCAACCGCCTCACCATTACCCACTACAGAACTCACACCCCAAAGACAGGAAGGACTTGAAGAACTCCCAAGAAACCTTAAACGAATACACAACAGCGAGAGGAAACCGAACCCATTTATCAACAAGAAGAACCAGTGACCACCAAATTCAACGCCAAAAATATCGAGAAAAGTCCAAGTCTTCCACATCACAACCACTACAACCAATACAAGAAGCTCAGTAAGAATTAGGGAACAACAGAAGAAACCTCATGTATTCGACGACAATAAGAGAAGTGAAGCCTCCGCCGTAAGAAGAAAACCGAAATTACCGATTTCGAGGAAAAATAAAAAGAATAGGATTAAAGAAAACAATAAGGAGAAAACCAACAAAGACAACAGAGAGTACAAGTAACCTTACCAGACTTATTTTACACTCCACATTATACACATGAGCCTTCGAGAAAGTAAAATCGTCCAGTCAAGAATGAAATCGCCATTTCGATTTCGGGAACATAAAGAATATGTCCGAAGACAACAAGAAGTTATAGATTAGTTAATAATAACAAGAAGAACAGAGAAGACAACAACCAGTTCAACCTTTTAGACTTAGACTTACCCTTTTACCATTTCGAACGTCCCATCGCGACGAGGACATTGACGAACCAACCATCTACTGTCGCGGGAACATCGCAAGTTTGGTCTACCGATTTAGCACCATAAGTAATAGAAGAACTACAAATATTAATCTAACTGAGAAGGATGAATAAATTATTGCTACTTTGACATATTTAAATGATTTAATAATTTGATTTAAATATTCCGTTGCACGAGATCAACCAATAGAAAATCGGTCTATAAATCTACACAAAACGTCAAATTTTAACTCCTGTTGATAATAATTTGATTAATGATAATAACACCTCGCCTCCACAACTCATACCAACAATCATAGTAATAGATAACACTTTTAATAGCCGTAATTAATAGGTTTAGAGGTACAGGATCAGGAGTATCCATATTAATTCTAGTATTTAAAAGAGTACCTAATGGAAATGTCAACTCTTGATTATCTCAAATAGAAACTGTTTTCATACTTGAGGAATTGCCACTGCTACTGGTAATTGCACTTACACAATCACTGCTGGGTTTAAGCTTGCCTTACCTTAGTATTTACAACCATTAATGCTAAGGCTAATGCTAATGCACATGGTTTGTTAATTGGGTCATATTTAAGATTGCCATTAATGCAACTTATCAACTGTCTAATTGTCTAATTACCAACCAAACCTACACCAATGATTAAAGCAATTAAGACTAACAGGAGCTGTGTGAGATTATGATAAAAGTGATGAACTGAGAGAAAATGAATTAGTATAGTAATTAAAACAATTAGCAAGAAAATGAGATTGATAATGAAATGATAATAATCAGGATAATAGATACTAAATAGAACTAGTCACTGATACTGGAATATAGAAATGTCAAAGGGATTTCATAGTAGAAACACACTGATTGAGAATATTATGAATGTCTGCATGCGAGGGTTTAGCCACCTTCATGAAATAGTCATAGTAATATAGTGATTTAATTAGTATACTGGTATTATATTTGATGTTATATAATTTGAAATTGTAATAGAATTGAAATATGCATAGGGATTAATCACCCCTTGATTTATAGAAAAGGTTATAGATAATTTGATGATGGATTTCGTCATGAAAAGTTTGTTTAAAACTTATTGAACGGATGAAACAGGCCGTGTTAAAGAGTCCAGCATGTCTTGAAAACTGTGGATAGACCACCAAGTCTTGAAAACAATCAACCCAACCAACCCAACTTATTTTTGCTTCTAGTTTGAAGTAGAGTTATTAGGAATAATAACTCAATAACCAACCTATACATATGAGAAATACTTGCAAGTATAAATATTAGATAATTACATCACGTGAAAGTTAAGGAATCAGTGTAGGAGCAATAAAAAATGATAGAAATGTTAAGATAATTAATTTTAAAATCCTATAGAAATATTTGAATTTGATGAAATAATTGAAGTGACTAGGTAACAATTGAAAATATTCAAGTGAAAATATGATTGCTTGAATCAGATTATTGATATTTTTGTTACGAAGATTGAACAATACGAATTTTGACAAGTGAAGAAGTAATGATATTTTAATGAGATATTATTGGAGAAATTATGAATTACTATAATGAATAGGAATATTTAATATAACCTCCATGTGATGCTCATCGTGGAATCAATGTTACTAGTACAACTAGGCAAAAATAATGGTTAATTGATAACACTTGGATATAGAATTTAATTATAGAATTATATATATTTATTTATTCATTACTTTATTATTTAATTAATTACATGATGAAAAAAAAAATAATTTTATAATGGTAGTAATAAGACAAATCAATAAGATTATAATGTTAGTGAAGAAATAATCAATAAGAATAATAGAAAGATAATAATATATATACGTACATATATTTAATATTTTATTCTTCATCTGCTAGTCAATTATAATCCAAATTATGAATAATAATATGAGGGTAATTATACCAATTGACAATATATTAACTTGTCTTTTGAGTTCACCTGGATATTGACTATTAACAATTACAATAATTGGAATAAGTAAATTGTAAATATTATAAAGATCAAATATTTGGTATCTGGCGTCAAACATTTGATTTATATTTTCTATTCACCACAACTTTTGAATAAAAGTTTTTCAAATAATAAAAATAAGTAGAGAAGGATGTTCACTACCAGTTTTCAGCTAGTAACCCTGTAAAGGCCATGAATGTACTTCCAGTTCTATTATTTTTATTATCTAGTGGCAGTGTAACTTTGAAAATATATAATCAACAAAGTACTTAGTGAAAATACTCACCCACTATGATTAGCCCACATACCTAACCAATTTAACATTTGAATAACTCTGGTTTCGAAAGTGTGTCCTTGTTCAACAGTATTAGACATAGTTGTAGATATAGAGAAAATTATAAAAAAAGTTATTATAAAATGGAAAACGAAAGTAATAACTTGAACAAAAAGACCTTTTAAATAGAAATTTACAGATATCAAAGTAAATAATAAGCTAACGACGTGAAGTATAGATGTGTTTTACTTTTAAAGAGTAATGCAAAACAAAGGAACTACAAACAAAAGAAAAATTAAATGAGAAAATTTTAAGGAGTAAAATTATTAAAAAGGTATCGAAGGTTCCAAACGACTTGTATGCTTGGGATCATTGCCTTGCTGAAAACGCCATTTACGACCAAGCGTCTGTTTTATTTCGGGAGCATGTGTGCAAAGTATTTCTACATAGAATTCAGCATTCATTATTTGTTTAAAGCAAAATAAACTGGTTTTCCCTTTTGCGCAAAAACCACCTCACACCATTATTTTTGTTCAGTCTTTAGGCATTAAGCGTACTGGCCGTTCTCCTTTGTACCAACGTTCAACAGTATTTCTGAAAAGCTGAAATGCTGTTTCATCAGTAAATAATGTCTTATTCCAATTTTCATTAATATGTTTATTTGCCTACTCTACACGTTTTCGCTTGTGATCTTCGGCGTTGCTTTTGGAAGTTTTTTTGATACCCAAGACCTGCCAGGTATCTTCCAATTGTTCTATACGAAACTTCAATACCCATATTAATCATTTTTTTTTCTAAGGTCCTCGTGGAAATAGATGTATTGTTCCTTATAAATTGACCAAGCATTTCTGGTAATTTTTCTTGGACGGCCGTTTCCTCCAGCATGTTTCACGATACCATTTTTTTTGATTTTTTTGATATTATCATAAATAGTGGATAGTGGAATGTTTGTTAGCTTATGAAGTTCTTTTGCATTACGAATATCGTTATTCCATAAATCTAATAAAGTTTCATTAGACGTTTTTTTTGTCACTCTTGTCACTCGTAGTTGTAAACGTGATATTTATTTTGTGTTATTGTGATGTAAATCAAATTTATATTTAGTGATATGGAAGATCATGTTTGTCACGTTTCAATTTCCGATTTTTTTGTATGTTTGTCATTTGTAATTTAATTTCTATCTTCTTTTATGGAGACAAAGATTTCTTGTCACGAAATGCAGCGAAAGAGTAAAATGATATCGATTAATGTTATTTATTTAAGTATTGACATAATATTGATTAGAAAGATGACACCTATTTTATTTTGTATATATAATTGTACATTTCGCACACTATTAATTAATACATGTTAGCAATACACTTGTATTGCTTTTCAGACTCTTATCATACCCTTGATTGTTTCGTGCAAACTCTTGTAGAATTGTACAATTAATTCCTTCTCAATGAACGAAATAATAATAATATTCTATAATGTAGAAAAGACAGTTTAACCTAATATCCAATAATTTTGATGGAACCCTGCATATTCGTACAAGAATGCCCCAGAATAACTGATTTAAAGTCTGCGACAGCATGAATTTATACCTGGACTTGTATGACCATAGACAATGATGAAACCCTTGAAATATTGGTGAACATCGCCGGAATTACCATTTCGGAGACTAAACCTTGAATAATATGATCTTGTAGGACAAAAACGTGTTTTTACCCAGAAATCAGGATAACCTTAATTCTCATTCTTGTTAAGAACTCTTGTGATTCATATGGTTTTAAATTCTTCAACTTGATAAATTATAAACCCTTCTCAATTTTGATCTTTCCTGTCATTACTTTCCATCAACACTCTGCGCTATATATTAATGTTATACATAAATAAAATACTATAACACTATATACAAAGTTCTATGATATCTATACACTATTGACCCTTCATTAATTAGATTTGTATAACTCCAAAGTGGCCATTTTGAAGTCCATAGAAAAACCAGTGATCGCGATTTTTTCGAAGGTTAAAGTTTTATTCATATTTCCTTGATTGCAAAACTTATTTAGGTTCATTATTGCAGAAATAAAGTGTTTGTTAAAATTATTAAAGATAAAAAGAAACGTAAAGAAAAAAAAACAATAATGTACCTAGTACAAAATCAATTATTTGCACAAGTTAGTCGTCTCAGTTAATTCGAATGAATTTAATGAAATATTATTTTCCACGCGTCTTAAAGCCTATATATTGTGGACGATCCTCAGATTTAGGAGAGATCAAAAACTTCCTATAGTTTTCAAAAAAAAAATCAGCCGATCTACATAAATGGAAGCGGGGGCCTCTCTGCTGCATTACCCATCATGGCTATCTTCCAAAGATTGTCAAATGTGCATATCATTTCTAAAATTTAAAAATTTTGGAAATTTTCACGTGATTTATCGATTTCTTTTAAAAGTTAGTCCGTTAGTTTATAAAAGATCTCAAAATGAAGTCGTCCATTGTGTCATATGTTATTATAACAATGGTCTTCGAAATGTATTTTTAAATATATAGCGTTACTAACAGGAGAAAATTAACTTAATTATGAATAAAATTACAAAATAAATAAATATTATAAAATATCAGACTAAATATAGCTAATTAATAGTTTTCAAGTGGTCTTTTATATCTTAAGGCATTTTTTATTAAGAAAGAAGATAAAAAATTTCTTATTAAGTATAAAAATTCAATTTTTTTTTTGAATTTGAAAAAAAAACTAACTGATAGTTACCTTTTGGACATCAGAAAACTTTTTTCCCTCGTAAGAGCAAAAGTTTTTACGCTATTGAAGGTGGGTGTATTTTGCTTGGTACGATGAAATTTTACTTTTGTAACGCATTAATATATTAAACAGAAATACATATAATATTTATATTACTAGAAGATTCGATATAAGGTAAATAGACTAGGGGGTTATAGAAGGCAAGTTGAAGATAGAAGGGTTCTCTATGATAAAAGTAAGCGAGTCCATTACTTCAGAGATCTGTAATTATGGAATGTTCTTTTAATTACTAATTAATACATTAATATAAAATAGTATAAACCGTTAATCAATCCAATTAATTAATCATTAAACAAGAAAATGGATCTTATATAAAAGATAGTGGCGGTATTATTTTTATTGAATATTGGTAGATGGAATTAATTTTAATGCTTACTATTGATGATATTAACGATGTTAGAAGTTTTTTTTTCTTCTTATTTATTATTGATTTTTTAATTCTTTCTTGTCATATTTTATTATTTATTATTATTTATTTATCCATTATTTATTATTACTAAGTAGTTATTGTATTAGTTTTAAAATTGACATATATTTATATAGTTATTCTATTTTTGTACAAATAGTTAAATTAGTATCTTAGAATGGTAATAAGAATTATTAACTTTAAGATAGAAAAGGTTAATTGATTATCAAAGAGGACCCTAAGAGTCCTAATTTTCTTACACCCTAATTAAGGTACTTAGTTTTGTTAATCAAGAACACCTTAAAGAAGGCACAATGCCTCAATAGAGGTTCAATTATCCCTGGACTCTAAAAGAGGTTGAGTGCCTTAA